GTGGTTTGCCTATGGCTACCTCGTCGATCTGTTAATACAGTGTTCCGTGGAATTGGAGCTGAATATGCCGTGCGCATAAACGGAGTAAAGACTTCAGTTGGGGCAATGAAAACCCCCGTGGTCAGCATGTCAGTATTTTGCAAACGTTAGAAAAGTATAATCAAGCATCGGAAGTGATCATATGCTTCATTACTAGATTTAATCTCTGTATTTTGCAATTAATTAAAACATAACTTTCTAGTTATGGCAAATCAGTTTCGTTCAGATTTGTCCGATGACTTTGGCTAATCATTTGCCAAACTTTCTGCACGGTCCACTTATCATAGAGACGGTTGAAACGTATGAAGGTATCCAGTTGCGTTATGTTAGATCTTACACATGATAAAGTCGGGATGCCCAAAGGCGCAGTTGTGTCATTGTTCTTTCGTCAATCGGTCTTGCTTTACTTACTTTCTTCAAGTTACTGACCGTTGATTTCTTTGTGGAACGAAAGATCCCAGTCACTTTTAGTGCCACCTTCATAAATTCAAACCGAACATCAATCTACGATGGAATAGTTTGCAACCAAGTCAATAATACAGTGGTCTGGGTCATCGAAGTACCAAGTTCGCCCTTTAGGTCTGCCAGACTTTCAAATTCAGCTGGTTTTGCCCTTACTTTGGCAGAGTTCAGAAAACTTTTTGATCTTGTGCTCAGTTTACCCATTTTTTCACATAAACGGATAATCCGAAGTGTATTATTGCGAACTAGTCGCTTTGGAATCATCGTTCACACTGATGCATTTAAATCGGCAAAGGCGGGTGAGCTATCCGAAAACTCGTTACGTAAGGTGCTTGCTGTAATACTCATTGGTTTACGTGGTAGCATCTCATTCCCACAAACTTGCTGCAAATATGCTACCATTCTGCCGTTTTGGCGACTTGCATGTAAAATCTTTTGCGATTCTCTCCCTAACTAACCTACAAGACTTAATAAGCCAAGGGGTTATTTGACGGTCCCATTGTTCGCTATACATATTAACCGTTTCGTTCGCGACGCCGCAGGTCGCGATAAAACAGTGCAAGTAGTCACTGGGTTGCCACCCACCATTCTGGCCCAGTGGTCTTAGCCACGGACAAGTTTGCCTAGGATCGTGGATGCTGGCCACATAAGAGACAGGTAGAATGAGCACTGCTGAAAATTTCCTAACAGAAGAAACGATTGCATAGTACTTTTCTAGATGTTCAGTAACTGTCTGACTGTTCGTGGATGCGACGAGGTTTCGGAGTCGTTCGCTTTTAACGCGGCAATTGTCGACTGGCTGTGTTGTTGTTCGGGATCACCAGGCAGATGACCAGAGTTGGGACTGGAACCGCGGAAAAGTTAGATGAAGACTGGTGATCTGCTCACTAGCCACAGAGATCTGCAAGCCATGCATGCCATAGCGGTCAAGAATCCAACTCGGAGGTTTTGGAACCCTAGCTGTAGGTTCGTTTGAAGATTCCCATTGACTGTCTGAGTATGTGGGATCAGAGACTCAATAGATTCGGTATCGAAAATAGATAAATAAACTTGGTACAACAATACGAAAATATCCGGTTTCCGCAGAGAAATATGGTGAGCCTCCAAGGTGCATCTGTGCGCGATTGTTACAGCATTGAGAGAAGTCCAACCAGTGTCTGAAAAAGCGATTTAGATGGGATCAAACAACAAATAGCCCGATACGCTTGAGAATTCGTCGTCATATTTTCTGTACATAAGTTAACCATTTTATTTACCAAGAAGCTATAGCTTGCCATTCCTAGTTAGTGAGCACTACCACCACAGAATGTGACTTGCACCCAAACACTTGCTGACGTGGTTCTCAGTCTTACTGTTTAAATCTTGCTGGCCTACGCAGTACTAGTGTCTACTGAAGCACAAAGCTTCGCGTGGCGAACAGTTATAGAATCCACCGTGGACATGTTCACTGTGGTGAACGTAGCTTCGAGTGGCATTCCTTATGCAGTGGACTCTCGAATACCATCTGTGTGGGGGACCCCATGTCCTCTGCACAGTGTTAACATCTAAGTCAGTTGATGCTAATCAGTGGTAGATCGCAGCTAGTAGTAGCCTACAAATGTCTTTCGTTACCGTCCCCTTTAGACAAACGGTCTTAACCACAGACTAGTAATAGTCGAGTTTTGGATTTAAGCCACACAGGGGTCAGATAATATGTGCACTACTGACGATTCCCCAAGAGATGAAATGGCTGTGTAGTGTATGCTCAAGCGTATAATGAATGGCTGATGGAGTGTAGATGTGGTGAACCTCTACTCATATAATCCAATTTCCCTACTTCGCTTGTGTAATCGTAGTACATTTGCCTAGATCATTGCGGTAATGTATCCTTAGAATACCTTTTGTAGATGAAAGCTAAACTACTGTCGGGCGATTGAGTACTTAAGTAATGCTGCTCGTGATCTTCACCGGGGCACCACGAGAGTGAAGCTACCATCAATAACTAGACAGCGTATTCATCGACTGCAATCAATTGCGTTAGTCCAGATAACGAATGCATTGACTGCAGTCTAGTGTTATAAACCGAACCTCCGTTGTCAAATGTTTGGCGTTTGTCTACCTGTGATATGTCAGTTTGTTTTGCGTCCGGTGGTGAATTTGCTACAATCTTCTGGATTACTGGCCTTATGCGACTGTGCATCTTCGCTGGATGAAGCGACGGAATAAGGCATTCATGCGAACTTCCGGCCTAACTAATGACACCACGCCGGGATATGCCACGAATCAGCCACGCACTTGCGTAAATTCACTGTGGGTGTTTGCCGGCGAATCTGTTGTTACTAATAACTGGTAATTAGCACAATGCGTACCACCAACCAGCAGGATCTACACTAAGCAGTAGATTCACATTTTCAAATAAGCGAAATCGAGAGATCTCTCTGGTAGTTTAACGATTTCATTTTTCTGTGAATAAGAAACTTGGTATGGAGGGAAGCGTTTTTGAATTTGTAACACGAAGTTCATGACAAACTGACAATGACTAGAGGAAAGAACAATGTAATCGCGCAGCGCATTTTAAAGGGAATTAAGGCTATATGTTGGTACTGGGTGCTACACTATCAAGAATAAGTGCATTCGTTATGTTAGGTTGGTAAACGTTATAGTTTTTGCTGGTTTATTTTAACAATTTCTTTTAGTAGTTTTAATAAGTTGCTCTGACCTTGTATATGATGTGGAAGCCTGTTTTGCGCCCAAGCTGTTTAGCTCCAAAACGCATGTTTACACATTTACAGAACATTCAATGGACAGAAGCGAAATTCGCACATTCTTCTATTACCCGTTTATAATTAGTAGAAGTGCAGCGACAACAGCCCATTGCACCAAATACACTTGGTGCTGCAAGCATTACTAACCGTATTGCACAATAGTGGTTCTCGAAAGTTCGAAAATATTACATGAGGTTTGCAGAGGAAGATTGTCTTGGCCGCCATTAGAAGTGAACAACGTCAATTAAGGACCTTTATTAAAGCATGTCCGCGTATAACTATTCGACATCTTGCTGCTGTTTTGGCATATCACATTTGACATTTTGCAAATATTTACGGGCGATTTGAATGTCGAAAATGATTGCTAAGTGGGTGCCGCAAAAAAGGGAATGAAAATCAAAGAAATTGTTGCATTGAAATGTCGTCATCACTTGTTCTGTGTAGCGAAAACTACCCGTTTCTTGACAGAATTGCGACTTGCTATGAAAAGTTGATCCTTTACTCCAATGGGCGACAAACCTCTCAATGGTTGGACCATGAGCTAGCTCCAAAACACTTCTCAAAGCCGAGATGGCACCCAAATAAGATTATGGTGACTGTTTGGTCGTCTGCGGTTGGTCTTATCCATAACAGCTTCCTGAATCCAAGCAAAACCGTTATATTGGAGGTATGTTGTCAAAAATTTGTCGAAAAGCACCGAGAACTTCTACAGAGGTGCTCGGCACTGGAGACATATAGGGGCCAATTCTTCCCTACGATAACGGTCGGTCGCACGTCGCACAAACAAACCTGCGGAAGCGGCACCTGCTGGGCTGTATAACTTTTCTTCACCCAACTTACACCCCTGAACTTTAGCTTACCAAGTAACCATTTTTCAAGCACTGGGATAAGTTCCTACTAGAGAACAATGTTAAAACCCAAGGAGATGCTAAAAGCAACTTATCCGATTTCATCCGTTGTCGGCGTCTAAGGGGTGATCTCATAATGGTGTACCAGATCCTGAGAAACCCCAACCAGCCTTGTCATTCCCTTCTACTACTAAGTCAAAACACCCCGCTACGAGGTCACCAATTTAAGCTGGTCACGCAGTACAGCCGCCGGGAATGTTGGCGAAACTGTTTCTCCCTTCGAGTGTCACAGCTTTGGAAAGCCCTCCCGGAACATGTAATTAATGCACCCACCCTATCCCTTATTAAAAAGCACCTTGAGGATACTCTGTCTCATCTACACTACGTGCTATAGCTCATGACAACCGGATGCTGGCACTAATCCACAACAGACAGTGGATAGTGCCAAAACCCTACTCCAAACCCCATGAAGGAAATTTGATAAACCCTACTACTTTAGAAACTGTATTACTAGTCCTGTTGACCCAAGTTAGTTGCACACGAGTAAGCTTTGTCCTTTCTATCTTATTTTATTTCTCTCACCTAATATGTGATCAATAACCACTCCCCTTATTGCTTTGTGTGCGCACATTCTCATTTCAAACTCCCTTTATAGCGCAGTGCAGTTAAATCTGTAATCGCACGAACTGACGACTCCATGATCCCTTGATATGGCTTTTTTTCACGCCAAACACCCTACGGGACATGTCAAGCACCTGCTTTTTTACCCGTTATAAATCGTTGTTCATTGTTCATCCCCACCAGAACTGTGAAATTTTATTCATCCGGAATAATTGAACCTTTATCGCGTTGGCATAATTGTGTCGATTCAAATGAGTTTGATTATGAGTAAAATTTCTACTTCTGAGCTAAGATATGGGCATTTTTAAATTTAAGATTAAAAACCGCAGTGCCTTTATTACCAAATTAATATCCGAATGACCTCATTCTACAGTCGAAATGTACCAGAAACAGCGGTGCAAGCGTTGCGATGATAACAATTTTATGTTTCATCAGATAGGTAGTCTACTTCCTGCTGTCATGCACCACGGGTTTTTCTGCCAACCCGACCACAGCGCAAGCCATTCGGCCACCCGAATTTCCCGTTGTTCGGCTCCCCTCGTTATCCTTCAATCCGAGATCGTCCGTTTTCTCGTGTATCACAAGAGTGAGGCCGATGAAACCGTTCGTTATGTCCCGACGATCGACAGGAGCAGTGAAATCAAATAACATGTTGCCAGACCGGTCTGTCTCCAGATTTCCGAAATCTCCTTCATGACGCACTCGGGAATTCAGGTCTCCATGATTACTGCATATGGGAAGGAGTGAATAAACTTGGGTTGTTGGTGGAGATGTGATTGGCCGCAACAAGTCATGACATGTATAATAAAATCAAATAAAACTATATTTTTGGTGTTTCAAGAAGCACGTCAACAAATATGCAAGGATCACAATTTAAAAAAATGGTAGTCGTGAAAATCTGAGTGAGAAGAACAGTGTGTTCCAAGATATGGTATAAGGACGTGACAACTTTCTATCTCACAAGTTCATTCCATTTTATAATAGATTGTTTTTTCGGATGCAACAGAGTTGATATGCACGAAAGCTGATGCAGCACTTTGTCATAAGTAAATGTATATGAGGTCAAGGTATGCGCGCACCAATGGATTATTATTGCATCACAGGTTCCCCACATAAATTACTCAAAATTAGGCAAAGAAATTTGATTGCAGCTGTAGCCACGAACATCGGAAATAGTGTGCTGCCAGCTAATAGGTTGTTACTTGAATTCGATCCTAGTGTTTACAAACAAACACTCCATTTTAGACAATTGGGCATCCAATTCAGAGTCAACTGGTGAGCTTTATGTCACTTTAAATTCGGTGGTTTATCTCAGATGTCACTGTGTTCGGTGCAGTGCACACTTCTGGTAATTGAGAAATGTTTCGGGGTAACTGGAATATGAAAATTCTTGACGCCACATGAGGACTGCGTACGTAACAGCGGGGAGTAGTTGGTGTATTGTGCTCGGTGCACATCTCATCACAGCAGAGACAACGAAACCTCTGTATTCACAATGTTCTATCGCCAAAATTTCTATATGTTAGCTTAACTGTTTAGAAATGTTTTTGTAGAACTAAATGCGCCATTATTAATCCAATATGAACCACTCACAGAGCTACCTGTTTAGTAATAATTTTGGCAACTTTACGTAATAAAATTAGTTACCAAATACAGGGCAATGGTGATAGCGGATGCAAAAATACAAAGACCACAGACAAGCTTTAAGATCGAGGCGAAAGTAAAACTGTACGTAAACACACTACGATTTTTGACACCTTAATTTTACTAGCTGTTTTTCTGAGTAAATTTTTATTAATTTGCTTTGACCATGTACACACTTGCGAAGCGCGGTTTTCACTCTGTGCATCAATAATGACAGTTAAGGTCAGAAACACGCTTTCGAACTTGCAAAGAATATTTAGTGCAGTATAAAAAGACAACTTGGCATAAATGGTATGATCCAAATTAAACTTAAGCGAAAGTAGTCAAAATAGTTCGTAAAATCAAAACTGTATTTGGTTCTGAATCTATTAGACATCGACTGTTACGAAAATTTCGAAAAACGTTATGAGAGACTTGAAGATGAAGAGTCGTGACTACTCTTGAAGTTGAACAACCACCAATAAATTGCCTTATTCGAATCCGATTCGCCTTAATCTGTATTAGAATTTGCTGCCAACTTACTAGTATCGCAGGTGACAACTTGTATACATTGACGGGATATTGGCACTTGGAATACCCTAAAGTGGATTTCTCACGAAATGAGAAAATCAAAAAAGTACCCTTTTGAAGTGGCTTCCGCCCCCCCTGTTGCACAATAAAAATGACCCGTTCTTTGGCGTGAGTGTGACGTGCGATGAAAACTGGATACTTTACCACAATCAACTTCTCTCTGCTTAATCGTTGGACCGTGCGTAAACCTCACAGCGATTCTAAAGCCAATATTGCACCCAAACTTATTATGGTGACCGTTTGGGGGTCTGCAGCTAGTCTGATTCCGAAACCAGCTGAAACAATTACCGCGGAGAAGTATTTACAACAAATCTCCGAAATGCACGAAACTCTTCGTTGTATTTGCCAGTCCTTTGTCTACAGATGGTAAGTTATTATACTGAAAGACAACGTTCGGTCACAAATCGCACAACCTAACTTGCATAAGCTGAACGAGCTGGGCTACGAACTATTGTACGATCCACCGTACTTTCATGGCCTCTGGTCTACCGGTTCAAACCATTTCCAACGCTGAGACAGCTTCCACCGAGAGAAATACTTTAAACCCCTAAGGGATACTGAAAGGAAAGTTGGTGCTCATCACTACTAGGACTTCGGAGTGTCATTCAATGGTGACAAATGAACTAGTTTACCGTGAGCAAAATTGTACCAAAGCAAATAGTTTTTCTTTTGTACTTGTAATGTTCGATCTAAAAGTTGCGCACCAACATTTTAAAAATAAACATCGCAGTAACTTCATTAACAATTTAATATACGAACATCAGGGGAGAATCCAATGCCTAGGTAGATGGTGGAGTAACGTGTAACACTTGATCTGTACGGTGCGTAGCTGAAGTGTTGTTGGTAATTTGGACTTTCACCAAGCTCATCTGTCCCACCGGCTGCTAGTGCTCAAAGCATATGTTAGTTAAGCGCTACCATGAAAGAAAATCCCAGTCAGTGAAAATATGATCCCCACCCATATCGAGATCCTGTTTATACGTGCATGGTATAGTAATTTTACATGGGTACTAAAAGAAAATGTGAGGTGAACCCAATAAACTTTATACATAAAGGCAGTTTAACACTTAAAATTGGATTTGAATACTTGCAACGTGGCTGGATTGCGCTACGTAATATTTATGAGGATCTCCTTTCCCTTTAAAGTGGACGTTCGTCATTCCAAGCACATTGTCCACCAGTTATAACATATATTAATAATGATTACACGTCGCTGATGCTCTCCGTTACTTTACCGCTGTACCAAGCGCTGCTCATGGATCTCAATTTACTAACCATGAAGTCATCAGCCGTGAACCTTTAGGCTTCGGGTTCTCCCCTAACTCAGGTTATTTCCACTGATGAGCCCAAACCAAGACAACACTTACAGTGTTTGGGACGGCAATACCTGACAACCTGCATTTTAGAAATAGTCCTTTTGATCGGAATGACCAAGAGCTACTTCAAAGTGAACCAAGGTCTCCATAAAGATTGCGTGTCGCAATCCAACCAAACGGCAGGTGCTTCAAATCCAATGCCAAACTTGAATTCTCTACAGCTGTGCCAAGAGTTGCTTATGGATCTCAGTAGCGTAGAAAACAAAGTGTCAGAAACTAACCGCTAAGTCCCAAATTCCAACCCAACTTCGTTTGTCTCCATCTGATGAGTCCAAACGAAGTGGAAACAGTCAGCCGTGGAGTGACAACGTTGGGAAAAGCACCAACGAATCACCATAGTTGAGAATTTATTCATCAGCACCAGCATTCATGAGAAAACAGCTAGCGTCGGTGCTGTGGGGCAATTTGATTCCATCCCAACTAGCCTTCTTTTTACAAAAATTGAGACAGTACGGCCAGTTGCAAATGAGGTATATGGGAAATTATGAAATCAAATGACTGTGGAGACAGCAAATTCCTACCGATTAAATGGATTCCAATGTGCACCAGCATCGAGACAGCCGTTTCCGAGGTTACCAGTCTCGTGAATGTGCACTCCGACCTTTTGCATAGGTGGCAATCCGCTCACTCTTCCGCTCACTCGGAGAGCGGAAGTGCCAACTGGAGTGAAGGTGACCTGTCCTTCGTAAGGTGTAGTAAACGTTGCAACGCCCTTGCGGAGCCGGTGCTCGTATGGCCAACCTGTGACAGTTGAAAGAGATAAAGTGTAGAAGTATATCTAGAGTGCGTTGGCGCAGCGCACCTGTGGAAAATGTTGCATACAACACTTTGGAAACAAAAGCAAGTGAAATGCAAAACGAAACTAATCATCGCGTTGCCGCTAGACCAACGGAATAATGTCGTTAAAGAGAGTTCCAGTAAATATTTGTCTGCAATGACGAGCTTACCCTATCCATGTTCTTTTCGTCTATTAATGTGTATTGTGTATCCTTTAAAGTCCACACAGAAAAGCACTCACACCACAACTATCCAACTATCATGCAGTTGATAATTGAGTACAGCTTAACTAGGTAATACTTTATGACAATTTCAGTTAATCTACGTCTAGTAAAGCTACAAAGATAACGCGGACAAAAAGGACAGCTATGGCGATACATGAAGTAGATTTACAATCACATCGTGTACTCGTTAACTATTTTAGAAATACTCGCAGATTTGGGTAGTAACATGCAGCACTCATGAAGATTTACGAAAAAAAGAGCTTCGCAGTGGCGGTTACGTCTGTAATCATTACCTGTACCCAGCTAGATATTCGTAGATACAGCTACCTTCATTAACAAAGTTTAGGTAAGTCTAAATTGCAATCCGCAGAGTAGTAATCCCATCGGTACCGAGGTCTGCTGCGTTCACTGTTCTGAAGTCTGCAGGTACTTACAGTTGCCGCCGCCTTACCGGGTACGCCTCCAGTGCGGAACGTTGTCCGTGAAGTAATCAGCAAGCGCGCGGTCTTGGAGTCGTCGGTAGGCTATTTACTACATTTGTAACCTGTTTCAGATGCTGTCTTGCATAACCCTAACACCACCATCGAACACTCAACAGTCCGAAAACGGCGTGTCACTTTCAAGTTCAGGTGGGACTAGAACGTCAGGAGAATCTCGTGAGTGTACCTTCTTGGGTGGATTGTTAAGTAAGGAATTGACCAAGTGTTGGGAATTCTTAATAGGTGTAAAACGGAGCACCTATATTGCATCCTGGCCAACCAATTAACGCCCATGTTGCCTGCACTAGCAGTCCTTGCTGGCAGTCATGTGAAGTAAGCAAAGGATAGGAAGAGAAACAAACGTTAAAGAATAAAGTTAATTTGGAATAAGAGGATAATCTCAAAGTTGGGCAAAAGAAAATAGAAGTATGAAGACACGTTAGTTGGGCAAAGGGAAAGATGTTGTCACTCAAGAGCGTCAGTTTGATGCTCAAACCCCTTAACTGTAGATTCCCGGAAGCATGTTCCAGCGCTCGATGACTGCCGAATTTCCGTCCTACCCTGAGTGGACCGCGGTTGGTCCAGCTTCCTGGAATGAGTGCGGCGAACGGATAATCTAGCTAGACTGAATAGTTAAGATAAAGCAACACCAACCTCCCCAGTTACGATACGGTAGGTTAGGATTAGGTCTCCTCCTGGTCTTCGTTAGTGCGTTCAATGCAATCCCAAAATAAGTAGACGCTCGGGGTATGACTGTCCGCGTAGACACTCAAACAACCTAGTAGCAACTCCTTTAACCCTCTCTAGCTCCATTTTGTCCCGGAAGAGGCATGGCGGACAAGTCTGAACGCAATGCTCCAGATAAGACCGGAAGAAAACCGAAAACAGTCCCATAAAGATGACGCCAGTCAAGATTCCGAAAAGCAAGACGTATAATCTACAACATACGGTAACCTCTAATTGCGCCGGAGTGTAAATTCGAAGAGCCAAGGATGCCTAGATCAACCTGGTTAGATACACGGAGGAGTTGGACCCCACGACCAAGTAATTCGTAGGAGGACAACCTCCTCCAATTGGAAGGACGGAGCACTTTGCCTGATTTATGGGCAGTAACTATAAAGTAGACTGATCCCAAAGTTTAGGTAAGGCTCGCTGAATAGCTTCCGAACCCCAAGAAACATCGACAATGTTCACAGTTTCAGTTCATTAGCAACTAGTAGCAATGCTACCTCAAGCTCCGCTGGTAGGCCATTCACACATCGGCCCAAGGGGCCGAGCCCTGCTGTACGCCGCTGAGGACATATGGTCTAAACGATATGCCGCGACCTTTCCTTACCCACTGCTCGTTACTATCCAAGGAGGCAGTCACCCAGTGAATGGCGCGTTCAGCTATGCTTTAAGCACCGCTTTTGCGCAAGACAGAAATAGGGTACCGTGACAAACGTTTTCGTAAAGTACCTCTAGTTAGTGGCCATTGTCCCCTGCATCAGCCCAACTTGCGCGAGCTACCACTAGATTCACCAGATACGAAAATCCCTTCGGATATCCGTGTTGTGCATTGTAAAATTGATTTACTCTATTCAGCTTATGCTCCAATGAATCCCTCATCAGTTCCTCGAGGAGTTTCACTCATACAGACTCCTAGCAAACTCGTTGAAGGTGGGACAGATAACAGCTTCCTTCCGTTCGGGAGGTAATGTACAACTGTCAAACTATTTCTGAAACACGATTGCTAGCGGTCTACTTTGTTTCGCAGCTAAATCAGGTAACAATTTCGGGGGAAGTACATCAGACTCAGATACCTTAGAAGAGTTCAACCTTTGTGACAGCCTAGGAACTTCCGTTTCCGCTACAGTAAATTCAGATAGACCTGAAACTTCTCGGATCCTGTAAACCAGCCCAACGTCTCTCAATTAGGTTTCCTTTACAAGCGCAGCTGCACTTTGCCCAATAAGTATGCAGGCTTTTTCATAGTCCGTAAGAGCATGAGTGTGGTCCCCAAGCATCAAACTTGGAATTGACGAGTTCGAACGGCGGTGCTTATTGACATATGCAAGGAAACCTTTTAGATTCCCTAAAGCTTCGCCTGCTAATCCTTGCTCAAAATTGAGCCTTGCTTTCCTTAAGTAATGCATACACTTATTTCTACCCTACGGTACCTGTCATAAATACCGGCAGATGGATCGTCTGGGTAGGTCCGTCATCATTTGAACCGCTTTGTGATCAGATGCCAGCTGGTAGAATCCACTCATGGCAGCTGTGCTCGTACTTCTTGTCGCGTTGTGACAGAGGTGAAGGGATCAGACTTCTGTACGGTAGGACTTAAATTTAGCAACAGCAACCTGGATAGTATCGTCGCTTGTTATCTCACAACGGAAACCCGAACCCTTGGCTCTCATTGATACATAGTCTGCGTGCCATATGTACGGGCGAGACTCAAACTTATTCTGGTAGCGTCTACACAGAGTACAACTAAAGCACGAGCAAACATGAGCATTAGAACCCAGTGGAGCGGGGGTACCTTCTACTTATAAGCGATTAAAATAGTATCCGTGGCGGTTGCCTGGTACAGTCAGTGTAACGATGCTCACGTAGTTTAGATGTGGTATGTTCATGTATACGGTAAGTGCAAGCTAAGGGTAATGTCAATATATGTCATAGTTAAGGAATAAAGACAATGTAAGTGGTTTGCTTATATGGGTTATTTAGATTGTAGAATTTGGCGCTTTCCGTGTCTTCCGCCATGCAGAATGATACCGCTACCTTTCGTTGCATGATAACTGGTATTTCTGAGGCAATTGAGGAGTTCCAACGCGATTGGACGCGGTTCTAATGAGCAACTGCCAGCTCATTTTCTAGCCGCAAGGTGGGTGCTGCGGTGGGTCATAAGCAAAGAACTGGACACAATGCCCTAAAGGTTTTGGTATCGATTCATTTGAGTTCAACTCCAAGTTCTGCTAGGAAGTAACGATATAAGAATCCCGAGTGTGTTCCATCTTTAGTGGGTCGTTGAGTCAGGAATAGATGAAGTGCTCAGAGTTATTGATGGATCTAAAACGAAACACCCGTATCGCACCTTGGCCAACCAGTTAATGCCCACGTTTCTTGCCCTAGCAGTCCCTGCTGTGGCAGTCACGTGAAGTGAGCAAAGGATAGGAAGAGAAATCGAAGGTACAGAATAAGGAAGTGCACTTGAAATAAGAAAATAATACCAATACGTGAAGAGAAGTAGAGAGAAGAAAATCGAAGTACGAAGATGCGAGTTACTCAGGAAAATGGAAAGTTTTCGTGTTGCCACCCAAGAGCGTCAAGTTGCCGCTCAAACCCCTTAACCGTAGATTCCCTGGTAACACTTTCCGGAAGCATGTTCCAGCGCTCCATGGCTCGACCTGATAGCCGTGTCTCCGCTCTAACTTTGTCGGACAGCGGTTTGTCCAGCTTCAAGGAATGACCGCGTAGAACAGACAATCTTGCGGGACTGAATATCCAAGATAAATCAGGACCAACCTTCCCAGTTAAGATACGGTAGGTTAGGATTAGGCCTACACTAAGACTTCGGTAGTGCATTGAATGTATTCCCATAATACCTAGATGCTCGGGGTACAGCCATCCTCGTAATCCATAAACTAACCTAGTACCCTCCCTTAAAACCCTCTCTAGCTTTATTTTGTCCCGAACGAGGCAGGGCATACCATCCTAGACACAGTGTTCCAGCTAAGGCAGAACAAAAGCCGCGAACAGTCTCGTAAACATGTCGCCTGTCAAGGCTCCGAAAGAACTTCATATTCACCACATCATGCGAAAACATCTGCTTACCTTCTTCCAGTTGTCGCCGGAGTGTAAAGCCGAAGAGTGTATGACACCTAGATCATCCTGGCTAGATACACGGGGGAGATCTGCCCCACCGACCAAATGCTTTGCAGCATGACAACTTACTTCAATTCGAAGCGAGGAGCACTTTGCTTGAATAATAGGCAAAAACCACAAAGTAGGCCAGTCCCAAAGCTTATCCAATGCTCGCTGAATAGCGTCAGAACCCCCAGGAACATCGACAAGGTTCCACAGGTTCAGGTCATTAGCAAATAGCAGCGATGGTTCCTGAAGCTTCGCGGGTAGGTCATTCACCTAGATAAAGTACAGCAGAGGTCCATGCACCGAGCCTTTGCGGCACTCCAGTCAGGACAGACTGCCTAAACCATAGGCCGCGGCCTACCCGTACACACTCTTCTCTACCATCCAAGAAGGCAGTCACCCAATGAAG